AATCCAAAGACTATACACTGAGCTACATCCCTAGCCATGTTTTTACTTTTTAAGATTTTGAGACAAGAGCTCACTGTATTGACTAACTTGCCCATGCTGTGCTGGAACCTGAACTCTGGATCCTTTTGCCTCAGTCTCCAGCTAAGACGGAATGACTGCTGAATGCCCCCTGCCTGGCTTCTTTCCCCCCACCACACACACACACCTTGGAAAGCCCAGGATGGCACCTGTCATCCCAGCACTCTGCAAGGCCAAGGTCACAGCAGGAGGACTGCGTGCTGGACCCAGCCTAGGCTACTTAACAGCTTAGGGAGACCCTGCCTCGAAGTGAACAATTAAATGCACTAAGTGGCTGGGGACATGGCTCAGTCCAGTGGCCAGGGTTTAACACTTTTCTTCAAAAAAAAGCCAGGGATGCAGTGAGGCTCCCTAACTACCTTACCTCTGAGGAGTGCAAACAGCAGCGAGTGGGGAGCAGGAGGGGCACCCCAGGTCTGTCACACCCTGGATGCCCTCCAAAAATGAACTCAGTCCTTGATGAATACAAGTTCTTTGTTTAAATGACATCAAATGTTTATTTTCCTTTATTGTTCATGTATATTCTTTTTTTTTTTTTTTCTGTACCGGGGATTAAACTCAGGACCTTGTGCTTCCCAGGCAAGCACTTATTCTACTGAGCTATCTCGACAACCCTATGTATTCTATTCTTTTAAAGAGAATTTGCCTATACCAAGGTTTGTAAAAGAAAATGCTGAGAATCAACAGCAAGTTTGAGCCCATGCATGCAATTTAGGAAGACCCTGTCTCAAAATAAAATGTAAAAAAAGGCCTGGAGGTGTAGGTAGCTCAGCGCAAAGACTCTAGATTCAACCTTTGTACCACCAAGAAAGGAAGGAAGGAATGAGGGAGGGAAGGAGGGAAGGAAGGAGGGAGGGAAGGAGGGAGGGAGCAGAGAGGGAAGAAGGAAGGAGGGAGGTGTAAAGGGTTAATAGAGTTTTGTGCCTTAATTGCAAAAAATTATAAAAACCCCTGTGCTTCCTGTTATCTGCTCTAAGAAATATATTCTCCCTTTTGGCTCAAGGCTGTTCAACAATAAATAACTGTTTCTTGTCAAGGCAGCAAGCTAACACAAACCCCCTCTCCAACCATCTCCTGTAACATAGTCATCTTAAGATGTA